TTTAGTGATTTTGAATATGTTTTGGTCTGTTGTATTAACAACACAGTTAGGGCCAGTTTCACAAACATTTGTAACTTAACGGTAAACACAAGACACTGGTAACCTACAATATATCTGTTTCATGATGTGTGGTTTAGCCAATACCTTTGGTCAAGCTTCAGAATATTCCATGTAGTCAACCCGCAAATATGAGTCCGATAGCCAGTGCAGGTTACCACCAATTGTGAAACTGGGCCTATATGGCATATTTTTGTATTTGTTGATCTATTTCTACAGTAATAAATCCAAATCGTTTCCAGGGAACAGCAGCTACTTCAAATAGTCTCTTGTGATCATTGTTACAATGTTTGTAGTTATTATTGATATTTAAGGTTGATATAGTTTTGTAGCAGTTGTTTTGGTTATTGGCTTTCTTTAGAGAGTAGTTTGGTTTAAAATATAATTTTTGAGACACCCTGTATAATAATTTTTGTCCTTAACTACATAAATAGCTTTGTCTTTAATGTATAAAATGCAAAATCACATAACAGATCAGTTAAATAACGGCTAAACATAAGTTTATGCTTAAAGAAAATATTTCATATACAAACTTTGAACTCAATTTTCTGGGTCATCCCATACTCGTACAAAGAAGTGACCATAAGCAGAAATGCTTGTTTTCAGGTATAGAATAACATACTGCAGTTTTAAAAAAATCGGCCGATCACCAGGATTCTAATATTTAGTGCCATGTCCTTTAACACTCTCTGGAATTCGTTTGTAGGAAGGTTTAATAAAGAAAAACTGTGTAAAACATCCTCAAAAATCGATTGAACATATCTTAAATATACCGTTCCATTTGAAAATTTCAAGAAAAATTAGAAAAATTCAATTGTTTTCAAATATCCACCCATAGAGTCAGTCCAACTAACTGAAGTTGGAATTTTTTACAATAAAATTAAAGAACAGACTCTTGTCTTTCCAACGAACCTAAGATCGACCCAATTCGTTGAGTCGTTTTGAAGTTATTCGTGTTCCCAAGTTGCAATATTTGACAGCTCATAACTGTCTTATCCGATAAGTTATAGTAAAAAGTCATGAATCAAAATTGTGTGAAATTTCATCAAAAATCTATTGTTAGCATTTCTGAGATACGTTTCCATTTGAAATTTAAAAAATAAAACTATTTTTTACTTTGACAGTTGGGTTACTTACGGTCATTTTAGAAAGCTGAAATATATTTCCAGCATTTTCTCTTGGCCATATTTATGGGATAATTTTTTTCCGACATGACTACGATGAATAGTTCTTGAGATATGGCCGAGTGCCATTCTTAATGAAATACCCTGTACAATAATCTGCAGGTTTACTATTTAATTTTGTTCCGAATTCTGAAGCATTAAAATGGCCAATAGCGCCTCAACTAGAATAGCTAGCAAGAAAAGTCACCAGGCAAAGTTGATCAGAATATACCTAATTATCTACAACTTTTATAAAGGTCATTTTGTCGAAGAAAAAAAAAAAAAAAAAAAATAAAAATAAAAATAGGAGAAAGGTCAATAGGGCCGAACGCACAACGCTTTCGAGTTTGATTTTTTGAATTAACACTCCAACCAGCCCTGAAAAAATCAGCCTGCCTTCGTAAAATTTTTCGCGGCCCAGATATGGACTAATTGCACAGAATTTATTTTTCGCTGCTTTGAATTACGCGGTTCGTGTTTTCGCGAGTCTGTGAACCCACAAAGACTTTCTTTTTCATTAGGCGTATATTTAGAAAAGAAAAAAAAACAAAATATATTAAATCTAATAGAAATAAATAAAAATATAGCTTAATTTAAATTATTAGGCAACACCAAGATACTAAGATGAGATCCATCAAATAATTTAAGTTTCCTTTGAAAGATTAGATATGATGGTTTATTTTTTGCATCAAATTCTTGAAAGCAGGGTGGCATGTGAGCATGGGAGAACATGACAGCAGCAACAAATAACTGTCACCTGTCTACTGTTTCTGTCACCTTTTCACGATTGCAGTTGTGTTCGAAAATAAAAAGTGAGCAATTTTCGACCGAATAATTTTTTTCCATTACTTTATAAGAAATCCATATATCAAAATTTGTCTAGTAGGTGCGGAGCTGACTAAACTGTTAGGTACTCAATTAGATGATTAATGGGAAAAAAACTGATCACAATTTGCGACGTTTGGATACCTACCGCTAATATTTACTATGATGCGATATAATGGGTAGTGTGAATAAAAATTTAGTAAAAGCTTTATCTTGCATTTTATAAGCAAATACTTACTTTGCAGTAAATAAAAAGGAGTATTAGCTTTAACTAAAAATTCAATTAGTAAAAGCTATAGTTTTTAGCATTGTCTTTAAATGTTGTGAATAAAAGTAAGCAATTCCTAATTATATGAAGGAAAAGCTTACATTTTTGCAAGCCTGGTAAACCTTGGCTTAAACATTTTAGTTGTGTTAAAAAGTTTCAAAGTTTGACAGAAATGGCTGCGTTTATGAATATGAGGTCTGCGAAATTTTATGCCGAAAGAAAAGAAATTCGTGCCAAAGAATATCACAGTCTGTCAATTCAAGGTTGGCTGATTCCTCCTTCTCCAACAAACCACTTATAGATTTGTCTGAATCACTATTTATTTTCACCTTGAAGCGCTGGCGTTCGATAACGCTACTTGTTTAAAATGGGCACCTACGTTGACCAGCACTCAACTGTTGCCAACAGTTGAGTAGTGGGGGAAAGGGGAAACAATAGCATTCAGCGGCGCTCAGCAAAAGCCGCTTTTTGTCAGCTGCTGCCGATTTTTCTAAGCGGTAAATTTTAGGCTTACCAACTCAACTTATGCTATAGACATGCGCAGAAGTGTCGGGCGTTCAGGAAATTTATTTCCGCTGTATCTCAACTGTCCTCAACTGCTTCACGCTGCAAGTTAGCTGCTGAGTACTGGTGAACGTACCCAATTATTGACTCCTTCCAGTGTTTTCACGCCGCCGGTCATAGCTTTGTTCCAACACATCAAGAAACCGCCAATGTACCGTCATGATTCTGCGCAAAGTCACAAATTTTTGCGTAGAACCCGAAATTCGTATACAGAGTGGTTTTTAGACCATTCATGGGACGGTTTTTGACGTGTTGAAACAAACCTCATATCATTCCGGTTCATAAAAATATAAATATCGGCGTTATCAGTATAAAAACTCGCAAACACACTTTTTGAGAATGCTGTAGATACTTCTCGAAATCTCCGTATTTTCAGTAAACACTTGAAATATCTAGTTTTTGCTAGTAAGTAGAAGGAAAAGGTTATTCACTTCAATTTCAGCAAATGCTATTAGCAAAAGCTAAATCTACCTAGTAAAACCTAAAGCTATCACTTTATACTAAAAGTGAAAGCTTAGTTTTTATTCACACTGCCCAATGTACCTACTATTGCAGAGATTGCAGTTTTTTAACAACCTTTTTAGCAAATTGTTGCTTGAGTAGAATAAACGAAATGAAAGATCACCTTGTTTTTATTATATGTACACTAAATACAGTTATGAAATTATGATAAAATGAATGACAGCCCCCTCCACTTTGTTTCCAGAAGTTAAAATAGAATATATATCTTTCTATGTACAAATAGCATATAACTTAATCGCTGAAGGTAAACGCAATAGTAAAAATGTAGAAGAAAACTTGACAAAGCCTTGTAAAATCTCAGACTTGCAGCTTTCTGCAACAGTGTTAATTAAGTGATGTAAATTGGAAAAACACTAATTGTTTTTTGATTAATTTAAAATCTAAAAAAGGTCTCCCAACTGCTAACGATCCAAATTTGATTACCGTAATTTCATAATCACCCTGTATTTTAGGATTTTGTCCATGATAACCTATTTTTTGTCCACATAAAATTAACAATTATACATTTATTTACAATTTTTTTCTAAATTACTATAAATTCGCAGTATTTATATTTATGTACTAGATGCATGTATTTTATACATTGGCAAGAAAAATGAGAAAATGGAAATATCTATATATAGGTAAAACTTGGCGTTGGCCTTTGGCGACACCTAGTTAGGTATAATAATTTCCTTAGACACTTTCAAAATACGCACAGATTTTATACATAATACATTTTCCAATAGGTATTAAAAAAATTTGCATAACTTCATATTTTAAAATACGTTTTGTCTACGGAAATCTTCCACCAAGCTGTAACCTAAATACTTAGCTTTAAATGAAGCTGGAGAAATATAATAATATACATACATATAAGAAGCAGCAGACTTAAAAAAGTCTTACACCTGCAGGTTGGATAAAATTTAAAGAACAATAATTATTATCCAATATGTAGATGAGTCAGAATTACTGTAGACCTCTCCCTCACAAAGTTCCACAAAAAGTCAGGCATCAAATTTTTGCTACAACTTTAGAATTTTGACACATTTTACCAATTAGAGTCATTTATTTTTTACACAAAATTAGGTTGTTATTCACTTATTATACCCACTCACATACTAAAATAATTGTAGTATTTACTAGTTATAAATTCATAAATTTCTTAATGTTGATCAGTTTTCTAAAGTTTCAAAATAAATGGCTTATATTTCTTGGTATCATTCACGTTGAAAGGTAAATGGAAAAAAGCAGCTTTTAAATTTCCAGATTCCTTATTCCATCATCAGGAACAACGTTTTAATTATAAGATTGAATTAGGAATACATACAACATATAATAAGAAATATGCGTTACTTGAAAATTGTAGCAAAATTGTTCCATGTTTTATGGAAGAATCACTATTTATATATGAAAATAATATTGTAAACAGTGACATTTTTGATTTTAGGAGTGTCTTAATAGTTGTAGTTCATAATTTAAACTAAAAGAAGTCTTCCATGCCATGTATTAGTTCAAAAACAGTAAGTACGTTGTTCTTGGCATCCATAGCCACTATTCCTTTTTTCTTCTTTTTGCATCTGAACACTTCGGGGAACAGTTTCATTCCCCGAAAACTCATGTCATCCATAGTAGTACTGGCTCGTGCTGGCATCTCTAACAGGTCGAGTAGTTACGATTTCTGATTCTAAAATTCCACTCGGTGATCCGCGGAAAGTGTGCGAATGAGAATGCATCTGTGGATAGTCAGGATATTCTGGATATCTGACTACTTGGGCAATCGTACCCATAGGTGCCGGACGTACAGAGACTGAAGGTATTGAAATGGGAAGTGTTGTCTGTAAATCTATGTCAGCATCCACCTATAATTAAAAAAAAAAAAATTGATAGACTGGTTTGAATATTATCATACAGAATGAAATTGGAACCACTTCTTGATCCCACCAATTACTTATAATAGCTGAAGCCAATTTAGAATTGCAACTGAAAAATATTTTGTATAATTTTAGTTCTTGATCTTCAAGGGGTCTATGACTATAAGTTATATATTGTCGTCAATATACGATGCTGAAAAGATTGATTACGGCCTAGACTAAAATCGGCAGTAAACATAAAAACATTGAAAGAAGTTCTTTATAGTAAGACCTGAAGGTTATTGGCCAAAGTTTTTTTTCGTTATCTCTTTCTCCCTTTTTGTACACTAATATGTCTAAGGATTTGTTTAACAGAATTCTTAAGTTTTTTCTCCTCTCTTCATTTTCAACATCTCAGTGGTTATCCGATCTTTACCAGGACTGTTCTTATTTTTATTCCGACCAATTGCTTTTTCAGCATTATCTATTCCGAGTACCTAACTCTTTCGAAACCGACATTCCTGTCTTTCGTAGTGAAAGCCTTGAGTTTTTGGTCTATATAGCTCCATCTGAAAGCCTTGAACCACCGGTATTATTTTCTCTTGAGTATACTACCTAATTTATCTTGTTCGATTGTGAGTCAAGAAATTTTTATCCTGTCCCTAATTAAATGAGATCTCAGAAACTTCATAGAATTGGTAGCCTCTAGCGTATCTTTGATGAATGTATTCTGTTCTCTTTATGTTTTTTGTATTTGTTTAGTTCTATTTTTATTTCTCTATGATCTTCAGACGTTCGGTTCATATTTTTTCTTCTTTCTATGATGTTCTTGGAATGTGAGTTAATTCTTTTTTTGGAGTATACTTTTTTGGTTACTACTTGTATGCATGTTTCACTGTAACTGTGTAGTAGTGTAGTGTCTCAGTTGTTCTAATGGGTTGTTTTATCATAAGTTTATTTCTTTCTCTTTAAGTGTTGAGGGTTATCGCTGAACATCTTCGCAAATGGCTTTTTGGTTTGTAATAATGACAATCAATTTCATTTACGTGATGCCATTGGGTCTTCTATAGGTCCATCTTCTCTTCAAGGATTTTTTGAGAAGGATCATATGTCTTCTAGAGTTTCTTTGCCCCTTTCCAAATAGAGCAAATACCCCTAGATTTGGGACATAATTGCCACATGCATGTATGACCTGAAAAGCTCTTTTGGAAGCGAACGGTAGTTTCCTATGATTTCTGGCTCCGATATATCTTTTTTCCGTGAAAAGGTATAATGCCATTGCGCTACTATGAATCGATACTGCTGTTCGCCTTCTACTATTCTACGGTCGACGCACCATCATGTCCATCATACAGTATAAAAGGCTGGGGAGCAGACAGATGGAGCTTCGAAGGATGCCGAACGATATTTCTTGTGTGGCTAAATTTACCAAAATGTTGCACTGATCCTGATGGGTTCGTTTAGGATCGACTAAAGTACCCTCCGTTGCCAAATAAATCGTTATAGGTTAGGTAAGTTAACGTTTTGAGCAGTGTATTACTTCGATTTCTACGATTTCTTTCACAGGCATGGTGTGGCGCATTTAGGATACGCACGACCTCAGCTAATAATTAACTATATAAAAACAAGATAAAAATTATCAAAAATTTTTGATTTTATTTGTACTGAGTGCACGACGCATGGCAATACATTTTTTTAAAGTTTTTTTTTTCTTATGGTTTTTATTTTTCTACTAAAGATTATTGAGATTACGCGTTAGTTTGGGTTAGTTTCGATTTGCTCTGTTTCGTTTAAAATACATACAAAGACTAGCACTTATTACGAATTACGGAGCTCCGTATTTCTGTTCCTCAGACTCTTGTTCATACAGTTCTGCATGTATCCGCATGCTAGATAAAAGCCACTCAATTTTCCGTATTCTCCTAAGGCTACTTGAACATGAATAGTTACATAAAGTTCACCGCGAATGAAAAAATAGACTGCTTCTGAATATTTTCATCTGCAACGTAAAGATTCATTGCTCTCACTTAAAATTTAACATCACTGAATTTGGCATATTGAGTTGAAAAATTGGATGTTTGTGAAGGGCGGATCCTTTGACTTTTGCCCATTTCTAGAAATACTTTTCTTAAACAAAACTGTATTGCGAAGTTCTTGTCATTTGGAAAAAATCACAAATTTCGCCATCCTTGCAACCATCGGAGACATTGGAAATGATAACACCATTATATGAAACCTATTTAACACATAATATGTATTTATCTACGTCAGTGAGATACACAACTCGTGCTACGCATTCGTTGTGCAACTTCCACACTAATCCACACGCATAGGTTGCTACCTTAAGTATGCTGTTAATTCACTTGTATCGTAAATAAAATATCTATTATTTTATTGAAATCCCCATCCAATAGAACAAACGCTAAACGCTTATGATTTTTGTCCCATTTTTCCCTGCGACACGGCGACACGCTTCGCCTTGTACTTCAAATTTCACCGCACGCCCCTGGCGACACCGCCGTCTTTTGACTTTGAACGAAAACCTCGAATTTGATCCCCATATATGCGAGAACATAAACATTTCCAATGTTAAAATAAAGCTTATTCTCGGACCTCTTGGTATAATGTTATTATCAGAATCATAACGTCTCACAAGGAGTTTTTCTTAGACATGATGTATAAGGAAATCTGTAAGTTTATGCATTTTACTCCCAAACCATTCGAACTTTTCCGTAAGAGTTTGCAAATCGACTTCTCGATTCTGTATGTAGAAGATAGATAGGCAAAGTCAATAACACGAAACCTGTTTTTGTGGCGGATCGAAAGTAAATAAAGCAGTTGATGTAATATATAGGAAAAGTTAGACATCAACTAAAGGACTTTCATGTTTTCGAATTCTCAATTTTCGACAATTTATACAATTTTTGATAAAACTCGTAATAGTAGTATAGAGTATACATATTGGCATATTTAATAGCAATATATTAAAGGAACAATCGGGCTATGTCGATTAGAAAAAAATATGACATGACAGAACATCGTCCAACATTACTTTTTCTATATCTAAATTAGTAGTTTTCTATAAAATCTCTCTGTAGCAGAATTTGTTGCGTCGGAGAAGTTGTTTTAAATACTTGCTATTCTTGAAAGTGTATTTATTAGCTATTTGGTTTATCACATTTTTGCTAAAAATAAATTATAAGTGATCCTTCAAACTTACACTGGGTATCAGCCAAATGGAATAAATTCGATAATATATAAATGGGGAACTTTAAAAAAACGCTCGAACACGTCGATTTTGTTTCATTGCTCAAGATTTTTTCACACCATTTTTTTTATACAGGGTGTTCCAAGAACAGCTGTACGGTTATCAACTTTATTTTTTTGAATGGTACCTCCTGTATATTATGACATTTCTCGATTCTACGGAAAATTCTAGACACATTTCATGTACAATGTCATATATACAGGGTGTCACGAAAGGTTTGTTACAAACTTCTAGGGATGGTAGATCTCGTAAAAATAAAACATTTTTCTTGATAAACATGTGTCCGGAAATGCTTCGTTTTCCAGATATACAGGGTGACCCAAATTTGAGCCTCATCATTGGGATCTCGGTAACCGTAAGAGATACGGGGTCGGTTAAAATATGGCAAACTTGCGCAATTTTATGACCAATAGAATACCGTTTTGAAACTAGAAAGATTCCGAATACTTCCGGAGATATTCGGAAAAAACCAAAATTTTGAAAAATCGTTTTTTTTCCCGGGCTTATTTGAAAAGCAATTTTAAAACAAATGTCACTTCATCATTGTCACTTCTTCCCCTCTAGAAGATGGTGGTACACTAAATTTGAAATTCGACGTTTCGTCTTCAGGCGGCCATCCTTAACTTACGTTTTTTTACGAACCTAGATTTTCTATTTGCGATTTTGTCATCTTTGGGCATCCTAAAACCGATACTGTTTATCATTTTTCAATAACACGGTAAAAAAGCAGGCCCGTATTTGAAAAACGTCGGATTTCAAATTTTATACTGCCATCTTGAAAAGAGGAGAAAGTGACAATGGGAATGTGAAATTAGTTTTTCAAAATCTTTTTAAATGAAATCAGGAAAAAAATTAAGAAAGACGAGAATTTTTTTTTTCCGTATAGTTTTAATTTTTTCCTGATTTTATTTAAAAAGATTGTGGAAAACTAATTTCACCTTGCCATTGTCACTTTTTCTTCTCTACAAGATGGCGGTATTAAATTTAAAATCCAATGTTTCGTTCCTCTGAAATCATCATTAATTTTTTTTTTAAATACGGACCTGCTTTTTTTGCTGTGTTATTGAAAAATTATAAACAGTATCGGTTTTAGGATGCGCAAAGATGACAAAATAGCAAATAAAAAATCCAGGTCCGTATTTAAAAAAAGGAAGTTGAGGATGGCCGCCTGAAGACGAAACGTCGAATTTTAAATTTAGTAGCACCATCTTCCAAAGGAGAAAAAGTGACAATGATGAAGTGACATTTATTTTAAAATTTATTTTCAAATAAGCCCGGGACAAAAAAAAAATGATTTTACAAAATTTTGGTTTTTTCCGAATATCTCCGGAAGTATTCGGAATCTTTCTAGTTTCAAAACGGTATTCTATTGGTCACAAAATTGCGCAACTTTGCCATAATTTAACCGACCCCGTATCTCTTACGGTTACCGAGATCCCAATGATGAGGCTCAAATTTGGGCCACCCTGTATATCTGGAAAACGAAGCATTTCCGGACACATGTTTATTAAGAAAAAAGTTTTATTTTTACGAGATCTACTATCCCTAGAAGTTTGTAACAAACCTTTCGTGACACCCTGTACATCTTCAACAGTTTCGGAAATATTGACTTTTTGCAAATTTGACAGGCTGTTACACTTAAACGGTTAATTTTACAGCAAAACCGATTTTACAATCTCGTCTGTAGCT